CTTCACACCTGGTGTCATATCACCTCGGACGAGTGGGTGCTGTCCATCTTGACCTGAGGATACCATATCCAATTCCACCACAACCCCATTACTCCTGTCTTCGTCTCCACACCCCCTTCCCCACCTCTCCTGGAAGAAGTGTCCGTCCTTCTGCACAAGGGAGCCATCGAGCAGGTACCACTTCATCTGCACAGGAAGGGATTCTATTCCCGCTATTTCACAGTTCCAAAACGAGATGGAGCCGTTCGACCAATATTAGATCTAAGGGCGCTGAACTGCTTTGTGACCTACTACCGCTTCCACATGGTGTCCTTGCAGCAAATTATGCCACTTCTCCAGAAGGACGTCTGGATGGCCACCCTCGACCTCCAAGACACGTACTTCCACCTCACCATCCACCCCTCCCACTGCCAATACCTACGCTTCACAATTGGTCAACAACATTACCAATATGCAGCCCTGCCATTTGGCCTTTCAAGCGCCCCAAGAGTTTTCACAAAGACTATGATTGTGGTTGTGGCTTTCTTCCGTCTCAGGGATATCTCCATCTACCCGTACATCGACGACTGGCTCTTGGTAGCATCCTCCAAGGACGCCCTGGTCTCAAACATCAACAAGACACTGGCACTCCTGGAAAACCTGGGCCTACAAGTCAATCTGGAAAAGTCTCAACTTCAACCGGTCCAGAAAATACAGTACAGTACAGTACGGTCCAGAAAATACAGTACAGCCCTACTAGATTCCAACAATTGCATGGCTCACCTGCTACAAAACAGAGCGGCAGACATCATTCACCCAGCCACTGTCATCCGTACCCAGCCTTCAGTCACGGCTTTCCAAATACAGAGGCTGGCCTTATGGCCGCTACTACATCAGTCCTGGTCTTTGCAAGATTAAAAATGCGTCACCTACAACTGTGGTTTATCCGCAACTTCGATCCAACGGAAAATGCACACACTACCCTCCTAACCCCTCCTCCCAATATACGAGACTCTTTACTTTGGTGGACTGTCCCTTCCAATCTCTTCCAGGGAGCACCCTTCCATCCTCCATCGCCCCAAATCACCCTAACCACAGAAGCCTCCCTGTCGGGCTGGGGTGCTGACATGATGGGTCTTTGTGTCGGAGGCAAGTGGGATACTCACGAATGAAAATGGCACATAAACTTCCTGGAACTGCTTGCAATACAGTTCGCTGTCACCAGTTTCCTACCTCTGATCAAGGGGAAATGTGTTACGGTCCTCACTGACAACACCACTGCCCTCAGTTATGTCAACAAGCAAGGGGGCACTGTCTCCCTATGCCTTTGCAACCTTGCCATCCAGTTATGGAACCTTTGCATCGCCAACAACATCTTCCTGGTAGCCACGCACATCCCAGGACACCTACAGACCATCCGAGCCGAGCAGGACTCAGTCTCCACAAGTGAGAAATGAACCCAACTTACCTCCTCCCACTCTTCCGCAGGTGGGGAGTTCCCCAAGTCGATGTTTTTGCCACCAGAGCCAACAAAAAGTATCCTCTGTTCTGCAGTCGAGGCGGCACGGACCCACAGTCTCTAGGGGATGGTCTCCCCTATCCGTGGTCCAGAGAACTTCTCTATCTCTTCCCTCCACTACCCCTGCTTCCGAGAGTGGTCCGCAAAATCATCAGCGACAGAGCGGACTGCATCCTGATAACCCCATGGTGGCCAAGGCAACCATGGCTCTCGACCATCCTCAATTTGTCAGCAGGGATCTACCACCAATTTCCTCCAGCACAGGACCTCCTCTTCCTGTCCAACTCCCCTCTCCTATACCACGACGTGCCACGGATGAAGTTGACAGCCTGGAGAATAGCGTCACCAGCTTTTCCACCCGCGTAGCAAACGTTTTGCTAAACGCCAGAAAGCCTACTATGCGAAAGTCGTACCATTACAAATGGCAAAAATTCTGTTCCTCCTTGGGTGAGGATGCCCCTCAAGCCACCTCCGTAGGTCTCGAGAAAGTTTTTCAATTCCTCCTGTCTCTCGCTGACTCAGGACTTTCTCACTCCTCGT